CTTCTAATTCTCCTGCCTTCGCTACCTCTGATTTCTTGGATTACAAGCATGTGTTCCCATGCCAGGTTTTCTGGGGTACTGGGTATTGAACACAGGGTCTCATGCACGATATGCCAACATTTTCTGAATGAGCCACATCTCCTGTCGAGAAGCGAACTCTCAATTGTCAAATCTAGAGAACTGTTTTTCTTTTTCCCTTTTTTAAGGATTAAATCCCAGGCCAAACCCCTGAGGGTCTGGGTTAGTACCCCATAGGCTTTGTGGGGGTCTGCCAATTTTGTTTTAATTTTATTGAATTTTATCGAGCGCTACATTTTTCTCTGCTTGCCTCTCCCCTTCAACCCTCTGCCAAGGTCCCCAGGCTCCCAATTTACTCAGGAGATATTGTCTTTTTCTACTCCCCATGTAGATTAGATCTATGTATGTGTCCCTTAGAGTCCTCATTGTTGTCTAAGTTCTCTGAAATTGTAATTTGTAGGCTGGTTTTCTTTGCTTTATGTTTAAAAACCACTTGTGAGTGAGTACATGTGATAATTGTCTTTCTGTATCTGGGTCACCTCACTCAAAATGATGTTTTCTAACTCCATACATTTTCCTGCAAAATTCAAGATGTCATTATTTTTTTCTGCTATGTAGTACTCCATTGTGTAAGAGAACTGTTTTCAATACCCCAAAGTGACAATTTTTAAAGATGATTTCTCAGTATGTGCCTCAAACTGGTTTCAGATAACTCAAGTGTTGCCTGAAGCTGGTCTTTAACTTGTTACTGTTCAGTCTCAGCTGCCCTAATGCTAGAGTTACATATTCACAGATGTGCACTGCCGCACATGGCCCCTTGCGCTCTCTCTCCTGCCCTTCCTCCTTGTTTCCCTCCATCTCTCCCTCCCTCACAGAACTCTATCGTTCTCCCACTTTTTTCCTTTTGTGTATTTTGTGTTTGATTTCACTTCACATTCAGAGCCTTCTTGGTCCCATTTCATGGGCAAGGCTTCTCGGTATGTCGGAGCTTCCGAGTAGGATCCTCGACTATAGACACTTCAACTGCTGAATGCAGACCGCTGTTCCGTGCTTCACCATGGGCTTCGTTTGATGATCAGCCTGGGAGAGCAGAGTCTACTGGGACTTTCTGTTGACCTTCTTGTTGTGTCATCATCAACCCTGAAAACACAATACTCTCACCCTCCCCACTTTCCAGATGTGGACACCGTGAGGTTAAATGATTTGTTCACAGTTAGAAAGTCGATAGATTATGGAGCCTGGATTACCATTCTGACTAGTTCTAGAGTTAACCACCATACCACAACATGAACAGAATAATAGTCATTCTTAGTTCCAGGCACATTCCCACTTTAAAGGCCTAAGGAGGAACAGCTCCCAGTATAGTGCATCTGGTCCTGTGGCAATAGTTGAATACACTGCAAAACATGGTCCCACTGGAAGCCCAGGAGTGATGTAGAATAGTATCTTAGCTATGTAAAGATATGCTCCATCCGTTCGTGCTGCGGGCTATTACTTTAACGGTGCAAAGGTGTGCTACTCTTGTTGACACCATATTTGTTTGACAATGTAAGCGTGGGTGTTTATGTAAAGATGTGTGACATTTGTTTCACCTTCTCTGCCCAAGGCACCTGATTGGGCTACAAAGAGCTTAATGCCAGCGGCTGGGCAAAGAAAGGAAGGCTAGGCAGGGCTGGCCGGCAGAGAGAGGATAAATAGAAGGAAAAAAAATATCTTTGAGAAGAGAGAAGGGAAGAACGAGAGAAGGAGGAGGAGGGACATGCCCAGGCCAAGAAGCTGGGCAGATGCCAGCCAGCCAGATGCGGAGAAAAAGTGCAAGTGAGAAATACAGAAGAAAGAGAGGTAATAAGTCCCGAGGCAAAAAGGTCAATAAAGAGAAACAGGCTAAGTGAAAAAAAAAAAGCTATCCAGAAAGGAGCCTAATGTAGGACAATCATTTATAACTAACAAGCCTCTGGGACATGATTTGGGAGCTGGTTGAGGGCCTAAAAGAAAAAAGCCGAGCCCACAGGAGCCCACAGCTGCTTCCCTTTCAGTGGGGTGCTCCTGTGCTGAAAGCCTGTCACAGCACACATTTGCATTTTGTGGTTACCTGCTTCCTATCTAATAGCAAAGACAGCAATATTTGATACTGTGTTCATTTTCTGTTTATTTAGAAAAATGATCATTTCAATCATTCCTGCTCCACCATTCCATGGAATATAGAAGTGATAGGTTTATAAAGCACCGTGGGCTAGGGTTGTGGCTCAGATGCTTGCCTAGCATGCATGAAGCCTCGGGTTTAACCCCTAGTACTGAACAACCCAGGAATGGTGGCACAGGCTCCTGGGAGGTGGAGGCAGGAAGACTCTTGGCCAAGTCAGGGTTCTGGTTTGCTGAACAGGGTCGAGGAAGATGGCATTCAGTGGAATGACCAACATTGAAAGAGCTGTCCATCACACAGACAAAAGGAACAGGGGTTCCATCTATGTGCATTGGGTCTAAGAGTCTGAGCCCACTGCTGAGATGCAGGGCAATTACTAAAGCTATTACCTGAGTATACAGGCTCGCTCCTGCCATCCCAGGAGGATGAGAATTGGAAGCACAAAGATCTTTATAGACTTGAGCCCAGCAAGGAATACATAGTGAGGTCTAGGCCAGCCTGGGCTACTGAGGGAGGCCCTGTCTCCAAAAGCATAGCCAAAGCAAACAAAACCCCAAACAATGGCATCCCAAAAGTATTTCCGCAATCAACTGAAGGTGGCTGTTAAAAGCATGACTCTAGCAGAGAGATCCTATGGCATAGAGGAGAAGGGGAAGGCCTGCACCACAGTCTTTCAGAAGAGCAAGGGGACCTTGAGGAAACTAGGTGAGAGGCTGAGGGCCTTTGGCTACTTGAGGTGAAAGACTGGACAAAAAGGTCCAGGATGGCGCCGTGGGAAGTGGCATCTAGAGGGCAGTAGAGATTATAGGAAAACAGGAGACAGCCTAGAAAAATGCACTGGTTTTTATTTTTCTTTATTAACATTTTTTTATTTATTTTATATACCAACCACAGTTTCCCCTCCCTCCTCTCTTCCCATTCCCTCTACACCTCCCTTTTACCCCTCTCCCTGTCCACTCCTCCTCTGTCTCCATTCAGAAAGGGATATGCCTCCATGGACTTGAACAAAAAAATGCAGTGTTTTACGTCAATGATATTACTTCTGGTTACAAACATTTAACTATTTAATTAAATTTAATTTAATTAAAATCTAAAGAAAGAGTTTGAATGTGCAGCCCTGGCTAGCCTGGATCTCACTATGTAAACCAGCTTGGCCTTGAATTTGCTGCTATCTTCCTTCCTCTCCCCCAAACTATGCTGCTGTCTCGGGTGTACACCACCATCCCACCCCCTGCTTTTTTGAAAAATGTTCCTTACTACAAGTAGAACTTGTTTGGAATCTAATGGCTCCCAAGGAAAAGAAAGGTAGGCTAAAACACAGGGGGAATGTTTAAATTCAGAGAGCATGCATCTATAAAGATTATTTTTAAAAATCTGCCTGTATGTTCTGGTCTTGTTTGTACAGACAGTTCTAGGAGATACTGTTTACAAAGTGAGCATCCCTGAATCCATATACACATAAACAACAAAAATGAACTCAGTGGGTTATAGTTATGTACTTGTGCATCCTTATAAATTCATATATATGTAACACTAAACATCAAAACAAAAGAGACTGTCATCAATTTGAGAGGGGAGGGACATGGCAGGAGTTGGAGAGAGGGGACTTGGGCAGCACTATAGGTAGGAAAGGGAGAATGTGATGTAATTATACTTTAATTACAACGTATAAAAGTAAAATAAAAATAAATCTATCCAGGCGACAAACTCTACTAAACCAGTGATGTCTCTTGCCCACACAATCCCTACTATCTAACTCAGACAAAATGCATAAGGAAGATTATTCCCCAACATGGGTATTCCACTGCCGTAAAGAAGAGGGAATTATGATATATGTTTTGTTCCTCTCCATTTTGACTGAGCCGGTTCCTTCCTTAAAGCAGGCTTAAGAGTCTAATCTTCCTAAAAAAGGAAGAGCATCATGGCCGCCACTACTAGGTTGCCATGGCTGCTGTCTCATTTCCTTCAAGCCTCTTAGGTGGAGGTTTGTCAGCTGAGGCTTTTTTTTTTCAGTGCTTTACATGGATCCCAGGGCATCACACTTGCCAGAGAAGTACCTTGCAGCTGAGCCACCCTGACCTGCTTCATAAGTGAATATAGTAGAAGGATGTTTGCTCCGGGAGGGCACAAATGCATGGTGTACATAATTTACATAATTTCTGGTTAGTTCCTAAACCCACGAACATCAATCTTGCTCATAACAAAGGTCTCTTGTTGCGGGTTGTGTGCAGACACACGAGTTTGTCCGACATGGCGTCAGCATTACGCTGGGTTTTTATAATGCAAGAGCTCCAGTCAACACGTTGCTGTGCCCTTCACGCTATTGAAGAGCAGGGACGTGAGGAAATACCCTTCCTCCTTCCCTTTTTCATCTCCACAGTAGTATTTTTTCGGTGAATGTGTTTCTGTTAAGCAAAATATTCTACCAGTTCAATTGAATTTCTTATATCCTCATTTCTTATAGCACAGTTAAAGGTGGACTTCAGCAGGAAGGCTCTAGGGCCAATAGTGATGCTCCAGCTCCATTTCCTCTTGCTTAGAGTCAAGCCACCTAAAGAGTTGAAAAAAAAGCTTTGATACTGCTTCTCATTTAAGGCTCTCTCTCCAGTCCCTCTTAGATGTGATCAATTTTGAAAATGTCAGTCTCTTGCAACCTTCACAGGGCAAGTTGGAAGTAGAAGCCCAGATTGCTTTCACCGACCAGGCTTACATATCATCTATCAAAGGCTATGGCAGACTTCCAGAGAGCATGCTGTCACTAAGATAGCTCGCTTCGTGCTCAGCTTGAGAACTACATTTATGGTAATAGTAAAAAAAAAATTGGCAAAACTCCCTTCACTACTCACCTTCTCAACCTGAGTTGGCGCAGAGCTATAAGTACTAAACAACAACAATAACACGGTAAAGGCTCTTTATTATTCAAAAATAAATAATGACATAATCATTAGGTTCACTACAGAAACAATGGAGACTGCAGGGAGCTACAACAGATTCCTTTAAATACAGTTGTCCCCCGAGGAGGAATAGCCAGGCCAGGAGCTGCTGTCTACACTGCCCTGACTGTGCTGGAGACAGGGACAGGGGAGAGAATAAGAGAACCAGTCAGTAAGAGCATGGCTCTATGTGATGTGTGTGTGTGTGTGTGTGTGTGTGTGTGCATGTGTGAGTGTGGAGAGAGAGAGGGAGAGAGAGAGAGACAGAGAGACAGAGAGAGAGAGACAGAGAGAGAGACAGAGAGAGATTGGAGAGATGTAAAGACTGAGTGTTGGGTCTTGGGGGTGGGGAGGTAGAGGCAGACTTTCTCAGTTCTCCCTGGGAGACTTTAGAAACTGGCCTCTTGGGGCCACAGGGAACCCCAAGCCAACCATAACAGATGGTGAGCTAAGGCTCACAGCGGCCCTTGAGCATCTTTCCTGGAAAGCCAAGTACACTATCCACTGAAAGACACGCTCCTGAAGCAACACAGCAGAGCTCGCTCCGCTATCTGCTCTTTCATCTGAGCTCTGCCATCTGTGCTTCATGCCTTGGCCTTTCCTTAGGGCTCTCTGGCTGCAGGCATCAGTAGAGGTGCTGCTTCAGGTTACAAGCTCTTAGGGAGCAGGGTCCGTTAGGATTTGTGCCTGCCCTGTAATTCTCTTATCTCAGCTCTATGTGCCTTGGGGTACATAATAAATAGTTCTCTGTGAGGAGGGTCCAAGGGTTATAAATAGGCAGTCCAACAGGGGGCGGGTCCTAACTGATTTGCTGTGTGGGAAAGACTGCCGGCATCAGCCCTGCTGCAGCCTGGGACAGCACACTGTTCAGATTTTGAGCAAGCCGAAAGATGTGAAGCCGACTCCGTGCATCACTTGGCTTGCATCAGTCACGTTGACGAACAAAGAAGAGTCTTCTTGCAACTCAAACACTCCTCCCAAGTGAGCAGACTGTTGGCCGCAGGGCTTGGAGGAACTGTGCGTGTTTGCCGCCCTGAGTAGGATTCTCTCAGATCCACTGGTGGACTTCAGGCAGAGGCTGACTAAAAATGGGTCTTTACTCGAAGGCTGCTGATTAGAACAGAAGGTGACTTGGGTGTACACATAGTAGAGTCCTTGTCTTTTAACGGTCAGCTGTTTCCCACTTTCGAGGGTTACCAAGTTGTTTTTCATGGTATAATATCCTTTCTTGGCCCACTGTAGAACTGTAACAAAGAGAAGGAAATCCCTGGTGAGCAGAAGCCTAGCATGGCATATATTCTAACAGGAAGTACAGTGGAAGGTTGGAGGCTGACTTTATGTGAGAACTAATTCTCAAGGCCTCTTGTGGCCATCAGAGGCACAGTGAACATAGATACCAATTCTACATGGGCTTCAGAGGCATTGTCAGCTTTCAACCTGGCTTTTCTTCAAACTTGGGCAAGTCACTTGATCACCCAAAGCCTAAGTCCCTCGACAACAGAACAGGGACAGTATGAAAGTATATTTCAGAGACTTGGAAAAGTTAAAGTAGCAGATGACAGCAAGGTTTCTCGCTTTAGAGTTCTTTGAGCCAGTGTATCCTTGAATTTAAGATAGCCAGGCAGGGGATGTGCACCTAGAATTCCCACACGGAGGCAGGGAATGTCAAGCTCAAGGTCAGTGTTATCTTTGGCCACTTTGAGACTCACCTGAGTTAAGTGAGACCTTGTCTCAAAACAACAACACAAAGGGGACTGAAGAGGTGGACTCTAAAGAAGAGCCCTGGGACATGCTGGCATTCACCCTACAGAAAACATGAGTCCCAGGCTCAAGGAACACCCCTGCTTCAGGGGAACAGATGAAGAGTGATGAGAGAGGGTAGCCTCTTCTGGTCTCTGTATACCCCCACTGCTCCCCACTCATGTGTACATTCATACAGGCATACATATGGAAACATGAATGAATGGTTTAAAATGAAGTGCAAATGATTTCAGAATTATGCATAGCATATAAATCTTACTCATGTGAGTGTGAATACTTAGCTTATCACGAATTCTACAAAAAGTTGTCTGTCTACCGAGTTTAGCAACAACTCAGAGACAAGACCCCATTTCTTCCTCCTACCTTACGCTCTTGCAAACCTGACTTGCCTCCCACGACCAAGTCTAAATTAGGCGAGGAAGTATGAAAATAAACCATGTGCTCACTTAACTGGGTTTTCATCTCTCATTGGAGTGGGTGCCACCAACTTGAAAGTACCCATATTCTTGTGGCTACGGCAGAGTCCCCACCAACAGTGTGCCATTTTCTATGCTGAGACGTTGAGTGGGTTCAAAGCCGTGTGTGTACCCAAGTTCAAATCTCAGCTTCCACAGAAAGCTCAGTTTGATGGGGGGGGGAGGGGTGGGAGGTGGGGAGAAGTAAAAGTATTGGTATATTTGCTTTCTTGAGATTTTCCAAATATTTTATGTGATGGTCTTACATTAACTAGGGCATAAGATACTTCTTTTTTCAGACTTCTCCTTTTGCATAAGAAGGCATCTCACCATTCCTGATATTTCTGGGTACTCCAAATTCTCCATAGAGGGCGTTTGTTTATGATGGTTTCACATTTGGGCAATTTGATTCTGTTTAATGAATTAGGTCTCTCCTTTACATTTTTTTTCTTTTCTGAGACAGGGTCTCAGTACAAATCCTTTGCGGGCCTGCAACTTGTTTTGTAGGCCAGGCAAGCCTAGAACTCGTGGAGATCTACCTGCCTCTGTCTCCCGAGTTTCCTCCCCTTTGGGGGGCACAGGATTTCATGTATGCCCGGTTGGCTTAGAATTTGCTTGGTAGGCTAGGATGATCTTAACCATCTAATCTTTATGCTTCCATCCCTAGCGCTGAGATTACAGATGTGTGCCACTAGGCTCTGCTTTTTCACTTAGGTAATTCCTTACTTCATTGTAGTTCTTGCTAGGGCATGTTGGTCAAGTTTGTAGTGTCATGTCCAGAAAAGACAGAAATGCGGAGCTGCGGTGTACTGGACTATATCTTTCCTACTTCGTCCTGTGAAGATCTACTGTGGTATAGACGTGTGAGATATTTCACAAGCAGTACACATTCTAGGCCTTTCGAAGAAGTCAGAATTCCACTAAATATATCTAAGTACCAAAGGATTTAGGTACCAATTGACCAAGACCAGTAGGAAGTGATTCTAAGGGATTTCTCTGTTGTAATTTAATGCAAAAGTGAATAGATTGTGTGAATGGCTTCCCTGCCACAGAAATAATTGTGGTGTTTTCCCATAAGCATGTTTTAAGAGAATGTTCTATGAGAAAAATTAATAAATATTATAGGAACAACTGGTCTCTATGAAGAACTTTATGTCCCTCTGGATAGCTCAGTGAAGTAAGCTAAGTACTGGCATTTTATTCTGGAATAGCGTAGTTTGACAGTGTAACTCTTCTCCCACGTTAGTTGATTGATATTCAAAGCTACCCTGTGGAGTATGTGAGAAAGAAAACCACCTCAAACTGAATGGCATGTGTCTAAAGTCAGTTTTAAGTGGTTCATGGCTCTCGAACCTAGTGTTCCCAAATTCCCTAACCAGAATGCTTACGTCTGTACCACACAATGCATGTGCTTCTGTGGTATAGCCACTGAGGGGCTCAAGTCACCTCAGAGACATGATTGTGTCTTCCTTTGTGTTTCTGTCTTTGTCTCTTACACACACACACGTACAAATTCACACACATCATTTAGAATGCAGTCGTCCATGCCTTTATATACATGGGGAATTTTATGCTAGCAAACATGTTTCCATCCATCTACAGATGTGATCCACTCTACAGCATCGGCTAGCACAAGCTAGAGATTTGAGGAAGAATAGGACCTGGAATGACGTTAGGAGGTATATGGAAATCAAATAGGGGCTAGGATGAAAATAGGAAATGCATGGAAATAAAGGCATTCCGTGCTGAAAAGATCACGGTATGCCATCTGTTGTTACTTCGTTGAAAAATCTAACATCTTGGCACCTATTGATCGTTACAAAATGGTTTTGCCTTTAATTTCCCTAAGGTGGGCCCCACTGAGGCTGGGGTTAATCATACAGGGACTGACAGATGACACAAAAGACCTCCTGGGACCCATTTATACACAGTGAGGAGGGCTTAGGAGGAGAGATGTCCCCAGTAAGGAGGTCACTACCTGCCATCTCTTTTTATGCTTGCGAAATAATGGTTCCCCCACCCAGTCATTCGTCATTTAGAATCAGCTACTGAGCAAAAACATAATGAGAACATCAGGACTCTTTCCCACCTCCTTTTGTCGCTCTAAGTCCCATCTGTGCATTTGAGCTGACTTTGATGACAAAGAACAGTGTGTGAGAGTTATATGGGTAGGTTTGTAAATTGGTCCCTGGAGGAAGAGAAGTGCCTAATGATTAGGCCTCATAGCTTTGGGGTACCCCACACACACATATGCACACATACTCACACACCTAGGTGGCTTTCACTCAGATGCTATGGGACTTACCAGATGTTGTTTTACTGTTGGCCTCACTGACAACATGTACTGCAATTTGAGGGTCCTCATCACCTGAAATGAAACCAAAAACATACTGTCAGGCCAAGGAAACCTACAACTGCATGTGGAACTAATGGGTCCAGTTTTACAACAGCGGAATAGTGACTGAGTTTACCTTAAAGGATGGAAAACTGGTCCAGCAATCCTTCCCATTGAAGGAAAGGGTGGCTTCTAATACCTTAAAACCTGTATTGGCTGTTTCCATCGATCCCTTTTCCTGATATTCAATACTCAATTCTGCTTACCTCAGATGGACAGAGGCTACAATATTTGCTTTCATTAAATCTGCCTTGAATTGTGCTTTTAAGAACACATGCCATACACTGGAGAGTAGTGGGCATCACTGCTGTGCCTGGGCACTGAGTTAGTAATATGATTATCAGGTCTGATTTGGTCAAATGACTTTCACACTACGACACTGAGCTTTCTTTGTCTTGCAAGAGCCTTGCTTCCCAAATAAAAGTACTCATTTCCTAAGTATAGAAACTGTGGGTGCTTTCTTTCCAGTTATGAGCCCGATTCTGAGAATGTTGTAGGTATATTATGGAGGACGTTTTGATGACAAAACCATGCATAATCTGAAAGACCAATTTGGTCAAATTTATGATTTGTCTAAAGACAAGCATCCACAGGGGCTTTTCCTTAAAATCTCACTGTAATTAGCAGATAAAACAGCATCATGGAACATGTCTTGCAGTCACTGTGAGGAGGAAAGCTTCAAGGGAATTAGATGAGCCTTTGGCAACAGACCAGTGCTTGAAACAGGTTCTGAGCACCCTCTACACCTAAGAAAATTGTGTCTATACCATTATATGTACTCATGTCCTCATGTGCATTAGATTTGTGTAGCTACAACATTGTGTTCAATAGCTTTGTAATGTCATAGTTTCTGCAGCAGCACCCCCTTTCCCTTTTGCTGCTACTCAAGTCACTCAACACATCACTGGTTTGGGGGTATGGTATTCTAAAGGGACTTGGAGAGAGCTGTGTTCAGAAAAGAACATGACTTGGAGAGGAAAGAACCTGGGAAGGATCATGGAGGGAACAGTGGAAAGTACTGGGCATATTCAGCATAGATAGAAAAGTTCACTGGGAACTCAGGGTCATGGTTGCTGTCTTCAGTAGCCAGACAGTCATCATATAGGGAAGTAATTATTTTTTGCATAATATAGACTCAAAGAACAGAAAGGTATCCAATAAGTAGACATTCAAGGAACAAAATTTGAGGCAAGATGTTTTTGGGTAGATGTTGACTTTAATATAATTCTTAGAGCTGTTCAAAGATAGAGCAGGTTGTCTCACTAAGTATAAGGTATTCTATCTCTAGCCATGGCTGAGAAGAGGTCATCTGTTTAGTGCTGCTTCAAAGGGGATTCATATTCTCAGAGGTGCACTGGGTTTGAGGGCCATTATGGTCCCTTCATGATCCCTACCTATCTAGGACACAGTCACTTCAAGAACAGGCAAAGATGAGAATGGAGCATCTCATTCATTGATCCAGGAGACCCACGGGGTACTGTCCTCCCACAAAATAGTTGTCATTGAATGATGAATGCCATTTTTTGCCAAATGATGACTTTCTTGTAATCTGGTGCTCTGAAGGTGGAGCCAGACTGTGTGATTGTTTGGATAAGGGTATTGGAGGTGGGGTTCCTTCATATTTGATATTATCAATATTACAGGAACATATCCTCATCAAGGTGGACATGAAAAGCCTTTCTGTGTCACTAAGGCTTGAGAAGGTACCAATTCGACCAGTGTCTTTTATTTTATTTCCAGGGCTAAGTATTCCCTAGTTCATGTGGTCAACCTAAAGCTTCTGTGTACCCTTTAAGCGTTTATAGACATTGGTAAATAGCAGCATACCTTTTTGCATTTCATAGCTGGTTTCTTTTTTCTCTTCTGTGTTTAAACTTACATCCTAAAAGGAGAAGCATTGCAAAAGATTAGTTGGCAGAAGCTCTGCTTTAGGGGTTTGCAAGGGCTCATTCATTTGGCAACTGTCAGTACCATGCTGTCTGTGCCTGGTGAGGATTATAATATAGACGAAGATGCTGTCGTTAATTCCTTCATAGCAATTGAGAGTCCCTATCTCTGACAGATGAGCTGACAGCCCAGAAAACTCAGGGGAGACCCTGGAAGCAAAATCCAGGCCTTATTATCTCCATTACAGTGCTTTCCCCAGACCAGAGGTTGTGATTTTGACCCTTGCTATGACCCTGGCCTCCCTGCCTTTGACGGATATTGATAAATAATGCTGAATGGGTCAATAACTCAACACTGGGAGCTGGCATACAGAATCTTATCAGACATGATGCAGGGTGTGGGTCTGTTCCAATGAGATTGCTTGGAAACCTCGCAGGGATAGATTTGAATATGATCATGGGAGAGAAATGCAGATTTTTACTTTGATTGTGTTTTTGTGGTAGCTGTCCCGTATGGCCTGGACTTATTTAGAGTAATCAACATTCAGAAAATATAGGCCATCTTCTTCTAATGCTGGTGATGGTCTTCAAAACACGTGGTTTCTTGTTTTTCTTTTAAGATTTTTATTTCGTTTTTGACAATCCCATGCATATGGTTTTGTGTTTTTAAGACAGGTTCCCATGCAGCCTAGGCTAAACTTGGACTTGTTACAAAGCTGATAGTGATATTGAATTCCTGATCCTCTTGCTCCTACCTCCCAGATGCTGATTTTAGCCATGTATCACAATGACTAGCTAGTGCAACACTTAAAGATTTCTTCTACTTAGGAGGCGACAGAATGCTAGTCACGCTTAAGGAAGCTAACACAGACTTCCTTCTATGTAGATTGAGAGATGAAAAAGGCTATCGCCGCCATTTTAAGGAGGGGGAATGAAAGGTCTGGCAAGAATGAGGTTACCTAAAGGGTCTGAGAATTAAATGAAGTACAGAACACAGGACCGCATTCCCAGACCTGGCTAAGTCTGTTTCACCGCTCGATTCTGAACAACAGGGGAAAGAAAACGGTAGTCTTTCCACACCTAATAGTCCTGTGCTCCTTGACATTCCTGGAACCTAATGTCTGCAGGGCCCTTCCTCCGCTTTCCTCACTCCAAGAAGACATTTGTGGTGTTAGTCCTGACTATCACAGCTATGCGCCTCAGCTCAGTTGCCAGATGTGAGGGCATAAGGCGCAGAGACCCAAAGGGGAATCTGAGCCTTAAAACGTTCACATGGGCTCCACAGATGTTCACATGGGCTCCACAGACCAACTTTCCATTTGAGCTGCTGTGGGGCACCACGGCAATGCGGCAACAGGAAAATGTTTGTGAGCTAACAAGTAAACAAATGACTGTTTGGTGTCTCTCAACCACTGGTGTGTGATGAAGGAAGTTAAGATGCTACTTCGGGCTAGATGGTTGCAGCGATCTTGGGGCCTGGCCCAGATGAAAACGTGAAGTCAGCAAAGTTTGTCTTTTATGCACCCAGTTTTGCCTTTTTGTGAACTTTCCCCAAGCCACACTCCTCAGAACCTTTTTTTCTTCACTTTTCACTTAAACTGATAGACTTTTAAAAGTCAAATTTCAGAGAAATCTTGGATTAATGATTTCTCTTCCAATGGAAACCTACATGGCAGGTATGGATCTAGTACCCTTTATGGAAATGATTTGACGCCATCAAAGGCACCTCGGGCATTGGTAGACAGATAACCTCGAGACTGAACCCTCTAGACAGGGAGTGAAGTAGATTTCAATGCTGTTCAAAGTGGTGCTTCCACTTGCCCTACCGTGAGCCCCGACTCCCATCTCTGTCATATTTGTCTCTGAAGTTAGCGAGCTTTTAGTCATGAGAGGGTGACCCCTTTTTTTAGAGATAGTGCAGAGAAGACTGGAATTCTAAGAACTAAGAATTGCATCTGGTTAGTTCTAGGATCCCATCAGACCCCGTGAATTCAAGGTTACTCCAAGCCAGCCAGATCATGTTCCCAAATCCACTAATATTAGCTGAGGAAACACAGATCTAATCTGGATTTAGTCTATACTTGACGTGCTGGCCTAAGCAGTTCCAAATACTGTTTCAGAGTCCGATCTCTAGGGAAATGGTGATCTATACGGGGACCAAGATAGAAGATCTTGGCCTAGGGTATAGTAAAGCTGTGATGCTTTGCCTGGGGCTCTATAGCTGCTGCAGTAGACTCAAGGGGCATCACTGACAGGCATATCACGTTACTAGGGCCTTGCCTGATGTGCCTAAAACTGTTCTACTTTCTTTTTCATATAAACAGGACTGACTCTTCCTTACTCCTATCCTGGGTAGATGATTCTGGAAACTTTCCAAATCAGACCTAAATGAAGGCAAAGGGAATTGGCAGGTTACCTGTGAAACCTCTCTGTAAGAAAAAAAAATGGGGTGGGGGGACCAAGCCACTTTCACTGCCATTCAAGGAAATTGAGGATTGTTCACATAGTGACAGAAGACCAGAGCTGGTAGTGTTCTTACAGAATCTCATTCCCTTACACAATACAAGAGTAACTGCGGCTCAGAATAAATGAAATCATTTACCAAGGCTGTTCAGCAAAACATAATCATTAATCTATTTGGGATTATCAACCATCATCTTTGACACAACTTTATGCACATTAAAATTAGAGGTACCTCACAATACCTTATATTACATCCACAACTCTATAAGCCCTGCAGAAACCTAAGATGTTTTCTGAATTTACCAATCTTACGAATAAAAGTGATGGAGGTTTTATCTAAATCATAGATTCTGCAATACAGGTGTTCATACAAGGTGTATTATAACCTTGCATAATAAAAAGTTAACTTGAAAAACAATTAGGCCTTGTAGAGAATAGAAACAATAAAACCTGGATTAATCTAAACATGGTGGTACATGCCAATAGTTAGAAGCAGGAGAATCAAGAGTGCAAATGTTCAGCTACATAGCAAGTTCAAGGCCAGCCTAGGCTATACAAAATTGTTTCCAAAATATAAATAAATAAATTCTACTTTAGTATAAAGAACTTAAAAGACAGTGGCAGATTTGAGCTGTATTCTGATCCCAGTAAGCAGCCCAGGAATAAGCTTTTAGACTCTTCTTCACTGGATTAAATTACATCTTGTTGACAGCACAGGAAAATATGTATTAAATTCACAAGTAAGATCTAAAGAGGACAAAGAGGTGGCTCAGCGGGCAAAGACCAGCTGCCAAGCATGAGGAACTGAGTTCGGTCCGCAGGACCCATGTCGTGAAAGGAGAGAATCAAGTTTTGCAAGTTGTCCTCTGACTTCCAAATGTGTCTCAAAGTTACAAATGAAGTAAGATCTTACTCTCTTTGCTCCATTATTTGATTACACATTATCTTTATATAAGAATGAATTCTGGAACCAGACAGTGGCGGCTCACACCTTTAAACCCAGCACTCGGGAGGCAGAGGTAGGCAAATCTCCATGGAGTTTGAGGCCAGCCTGGTCTACAAGAACTAGTTCCAGGACAGCTAGGACTGTTACACAGAGAAACCCTGTCTCAAAAAGTATAAAACAACAACAAAAAGAGTGAATTTCTGTTGGTTTGTTCAGATGACCGCCCAGTGGACTCAGAGCTGCCCTCAACAGGAAGTGGGTGCTGTCTCTTAGAGCAGCTCCTAAACTACCAATGGATGACCAAAGGTCGTCAGCACTCTGAAGGGAAGCGGCAGGAGAGTTTTTGATGTTCTGTTTCAGGGGGGAAAAAGAACACCTTAAGCTCATGTTTGTAGTGAACAAATAAATGGAAAAATTCTGGAAAGTCATGTATTAGATACTCAGTTAATAGTAAGCTGGACGACAGCTGGGTTGTTTAGAAAGCTTTGAACCTTTAGATTGAAACCGCTCCATAAGAGAGCAGTGTTGCACGAGCTCTATTGTGAGTGGCATTGAGAACAGGCATCTACTTCTTCCCATGCAACAGAAGGGAAGACCACACTCTCACGGAATCACCATAAGCACTGAAGACAGGACAGAAAATACCTTCCCCTATGGCCTCCCAAGTTATTACTTTCACTACGAGCTGGAGATCAGAGCCTGGTCTCACGATGGGAAGATAGCAAAGGATGCATGGATAAATGCAGAAATACAAAACTCTAACTGCATGCACTGCATAACTACTGTGTGGTAGTTGCATGTGTGTGTCGCTGTGCATGCGGGGATGCATTTTCTCCAGAGAACCCCTTTTCTATGGCAGTGATGTGAACAGGTCCAACTTTTAGCTTCATTTTACCCTAAGGCGTTGTCTTCGTTTTGTGCTTTTCGTATGTGCGCATCTCCACACCCACCTATGTGTGTACACATACATGTATTTATGAGCACGTGTGCTCACATAGAACACAGCTTGAGAAAGTCTCACTCTGTAGAACAAACTGGCCTAGAACGCGGGAATTCTGTCGTCCTACTGTGTCCTCTAGGGCACTGCCCTTGAAGGTGTGACCACCACCCTTGATTACAGTTGGAAACATTTCTAGTGTCAGAATTCAGTTCGAAGAGCTGGGAAACGTGCTGAAGGTTCTCAGTGGAATGAATCCTCCAGGAGCTGAGTGCCTTACCTTGACGAGGTCTTCATATCTCCTTTTTACCTCCTTGCAGTTCAGCAAGGATAAGGATCCTTCTCCTCTGATGCATTTCTGCAGCTGTTTTATGAATACAAAATCTTCATGAAAGCTTACTTCCTCTTCTACCTGTTGGGAAATAGCAGGCTGATGAGCAATGGCATTGTGAAGAATACGGCTAACGATGTCTGCCTCCACACTCTCTTCACAGCCCTGAAGAGAGGGCGGCTTGGAGAGCATAAATGGGGGGATATTAGAAGTTATTATGTTGGATTATTGCTGTTTGATGCTTGCCATTTAGCAACCTTAAAAAGCCAGTGATTCAGATGTCATGTTATCTAACGTCTCTGGATAGGAATCACGACCACTCTAGCGACCTTTCATCACAAGGTATCTATGTTTTTAATGTACCACAACAGCAATATCCTATAATTGTCATATTTCCCATCAGCCATAACACAGTTTGCTGCTGAGCTAGTTTGCCTCCTTCATGGCAGTGCTCACAACATGGGGCATTCTAGAGAAGTTCATCTCTAACGTGGATTTATAATTACATCTCTCATCTCCCTAATACTTGGAGAAAGCATTTGCATGCTTAAAGAAATTCTCTCTCAGCCCCGAAGTGAATGAGATATTTACTTTTCCAATATTGGAGTAATTGAATGTATGCTATTAACTTGTGTTGTCAACTAACTCCATACCACACGTTTGTCTTTAAGTGGAGATTATCCGCTTTCAAGACAAGAACTGATACAGTCATGGAAGAACATGCCTACAACCCCTGCACTTGCTAGGCCGAGGCGGGAGTGTTGCTGTGAGTTAAAGGTCAGTCTGGTTTATCTATGGTCAGTTCCTGACTATTCTGGGCTACATTATGAGACTCTGTCTCAAAAATGAAAAGAAAAATCCAAAATCAACCGAACGAATATTGCATTTGAGTCTATATGGGTTATAGTTTCCCCATTATCCTCCAGGCCTATATACAGCCATTTGACAGAGCCCACCAAATAAGTAAACAATCAGACCCAGAACCTGTCTCTTTGCCCAGCAGTGAAGACCAGTTTGAGTAGGCAAGCAGATTGTCTCTGCTCTCAAAACCCGTCACTGCCTCTCCTTATACTGATAGGAACTTCATGACCTTCATTTAGGCCCCCATTTCAAGAAAGGCTAGCCAATGATCCCAGAAAAAAATCCAGCCATCCAGGTGATGCCTAGCCATTGTCCTTACTTCCAGACTTTAGGGACAGCTAGATACTCGAGACTTTTCTCCTAGTCTTGTGATTGTCATTTTGTGACACAACCCGCCTGCCCCTCACTGGAAGTGAGCCAATATATGGATATAAGGTAAGCCCTGAAGTTACCTTTTTCTACACAGCCTACTCTCTCCCTGTCCCCTCTTTTCCCTGTATACCCAATCATTTAAGTGTGGAAGACACTTCAGAGGACAACAGAGCCGCTTACAATGGCAGTTGACATTGAAGAATTGTACAGACAGCATCATTCTGATTTTTTTAAAAATCTGTAAACGCAGGTGATGGTACATATCTGTACTAATCCAAAACACAACGGAATTTCAGACCAAATCAATGTTCTTTTTGTCTCGGTCAAATTTTTAAAGAAAAACGTTGTCTTCATGGGGGAAAAAAAGAGTTTACTTTATGAAGCAAATTATAGAAAATCACCATAACTGCTGCTGGTCTGGCACTTACTATGTACCAGGCACTATTCCAGGTGATTTACGGGCTAGATTCATCTGATCTCTGGCAGGAGACCCATTTTCATCTCTATTTTCTTGGTGTAGAAAGAGCAATAGAAATACAAATTGACATGTCCAGAATCTCAGAGCAGTTAAGAGCCAAGCTAAGATTTGAAGCCAGGCTGTCTGGCTTCAGACCCCTTAGTCAGAGGCAAAACTGTGAGACCCCCACTGTCTAGGCAACAAGACTATTAATCCACTTAAGCTTTCTACTGTCCTCCACCATCTGGGTAGGACTTAAATCAACCAGTGTCCAGATCAGTTAATGCAGGCTTGCAGGTCCCCTTACCTTATCCAGTCTTCGATGAAGATACACAGCATAAAGTGCCGAGCCAATCATCTGGGTGATGAGAAAGGCTGTAAGTATATACAGAAGAATTTTCATGCTGACGGGCAGTCCGGGAGCCACGGATCGGGGAGAAGGTTGACTGTATGTTTCTATCATGCTGGCTTAGAGTCGAAATGGTGTCTTCTGACCAAGAAGGTGACAGAGGCAGCATGAGAAGACTGTCAAAGTGGCCGCCTTACTCAGGATTAGTTAAGAGCGCACAATCGTCGCAGCCCACACTTCCTGGAAAATGTGCTTCGTAGTCTTCTGTCCCAGCTACCAAAAAAAAAAGTTACGTAAAGGTTTTTTCTTTTCTTTCCTTTTTTTTTTTTTTACAAAAAAAATTGCACCCATATCATTTACTTCCAGGCTTTCCCTTTTGTTAGTAAAGAAGAAACAAGTTTCGTCTTCCATACATTCATTCTTGCCTTGAAATGTCACAGACTTCTTAAGAGACAATGGCAGTATTTTCCTATCACTGCCTAAAGTTTGGGGCTCACCAGTTTCAAGGAAAGTGACAGATGAGTCCACTAGTAATAAAATCATTTCAATTTCAATCTTACTAATATATCAGGAACATGGTATAAGGGGAAAGGAACAGAGGTTAGAAAAAATATGGATTGATTTGGTGCACTGTGTTTCAAGACTTTGTTTCTTTAATATCTAAGCTCAATGACACCTTGGTAGCTTTGCTAGTCAAAAACTGTATGTCATAAAGCAAAAGAGGGCTCCCTGTTTGTTGAATAAATTGTAACTGGAAAGAGAATTCGAGAAGAAGAATCCCTTTTCTGAAAGGCAAAGCTAACTACCGTGTTGGAGGAACTAAGCGAGAGTGGGGAACCTGATCTGGCCACACTGCCTGTCTCCGTGGTCTCAATTGTGCTGCTGTGTGTCTAAGGACAAGAAAAATGAACTTCAACTGAGAAACCTGGCTTCTAGTCCTTGCTGTACCAATAAATTCTTACAGAACCCCAGCCAATCACTTTGCCCCTGTAGGTCTCAGTATCCCAGACACAAAGGGCAATCACCTGCCTTCCTTAGCCCATAGGTTTGGGCAAAGATAGGAATGAAAGACTTTTGAGGCATCTTATACAATATATAGTTATCCCTACTGTTTTTGTTTGGTTGGTTTTGTTTTTTTTTTCAAGACAGGGTTTCTCTGTATAACAGCACCAGCTGTCCTGGAGCTTGGTTTGTAGACCAGGCTGGCCTCAAACTCACAGAGATTCACCTGCATCTGCCTCCTGAGTGCTGAAATTAAAGGTGTGCATTAGTGCATTACACCTTTAACCTGGCTCAGTTATCCCTATTTTTAATGATTTTGCTAGCCTAAGAAATGAGTTTTTGAAATGATTGCTATCTCTTTTTATAATGAAAATAAAAAAAAAACAATAACCGTGGCCAAGTGATCTCAGGCTGTGACCCTATAGCAGGATTACATGTGTGTGAACAGCTTGTGTGATGTCATATCAGATAGCATTCAAACCAAACTCGGCTGTGGAAACCCCTCTCTCTCATCCCGACCTCACGTAGAAACTGTGATAAAATTGCTTTGGTGATTCCTACAAAATTGTTTTAGAAGACAAATAGGAAATAGTCACACTGCTCTGTGAGGCACGCTGTCTGTGTAGTTAGCACCTGCTGGCTTCCCCTCCCACGCCTCTGCATCCTGTCCTGGGCCCAGACCTGAGCAGCTTTTCACTACATCTGCTAAGGAGGTGGCTTCAAAGCAAATGATAAACTTTGATCAGTCAAGTCAGAGGCTTTGGTTCTTAGACAAGTGATCACACTTGGGCTCTCAAGACTGTGTCCCAGGCCAGCTCCACACAATTAGAGAGTGTTCAGTTCACAAAAGCCCTAGGAAGATCAGTTTGACCCAGCCACGCTCAAGGGAGAGATTGCTGCAGGGACCTCGAAGAGACAGTCAGGGTTTGTTTGTGTGATCAACTTCAAGAAAGAGTTGTTCAGCCTTCCTGCTCCCCCTTCTTCGTCTCCAGCCCCCTGAAGGCTGACTCTTGCCCACACTTTAACACCGAAACTGCCACTTCTATTAGCTCAGTCACAGTTTTGACTGGACGCTCTTCAGCGTTCATTTTAAGTTCCCTCTCTGTTAGTCTCCTGACCTATTTTTCTAGCATTCTCCTTCTGAATAGTCTCCACCCTTGAATTCTAGACCACCATGACTCTTTAGTCCGTCTTATTTCCCAGATTTACCAAGTGTAATTGGCTAATACAAACTGTATAGATTTCAGGTATACATGATGCTATATGCATTGTGAAATGTTTGATCTCGTTTGTAACCAGTCGTTTTACAGGCTACCAGTGACATGTCCTGCACACACTCCCAGTTTGAGGCCTTCCCCTGTGTCTACCAAATATAACTGTATTTCACTATTGGGGATTTGTATGGCTCAGCTAATACTACATAATGCCCTTGCTCAAGCCATAGGCCATTCATCTATCTAAAGGGTTGCTTCCTCTTAGAATCCTTTTCTACTCTTCATTTGATCTTCTTTTTTGTTCTCCTTACTTGCCTTTAATCCCAGCACTTGGGAGGCAAAGGCAGGTGGATCTCTGTGAGTTTGATGCCAGCCTGGTCTTCAGAGTGAGTTCCAGGACAGCCAGGGTTACACAGAAAGACCCCGTTTTGGGAAAACAAACAGATCAGCAAGACCTAGATTTTTCTTTTTCTGTTTTCTGTCTTTCCTTTCCATTTGCTTTCCTCCTCTTCTTCGGATAGGGAGTCTAACTTGGAAATGGTCCTTTTCTATCACAGTCACTGGCCTCACCTAGCTGTAGAGGTCAGTGAGCCGAGAGGCCTTCGGGAGCCCTTCTTATCTTAGTCTAGCTGGCTGTTCAGCTCCAGTGGCCTTCTTTCTCTCCAAAGCCTCTTGCCTAAGCCTTTCCTCATGCCACCTGTCAACAACTGAACCCAGGCCTCCACTTCCTCCTTTTCTAGGTTTATTAAACTGTAGCACCCCAAATTGTCCCCTGGCTCCCTCTTCTGCCCCAATCATCCACCTTCCACATTGCTAAAGTAAATATGGTCACCTAAAAGTCACTTAAAAGTGACCATATTAGCCAATCTGATCGGACCTAAGACTCAGTTCCAGACTCGGGGAAGCGCTGGCATGTTTGAATTGCTCTAGCAAGCCAGACTTGTGTTTCAATTCATTCAATGAGTCTCTCTCTCTCTCTCTCTCTCTCTCTCTCTCTCTCTCTCTCTCTCTCTCTCTCCCTCCCTCCCTCCCTCCCTCCCTCCCTCCCTCCTTTTCTTCTTTTCTTCCCCCATTTTCCTTTCTTTTTTCTTCCCTCCTTCCTTCCCTACTCTAGCCCCAGGGCCTCTTTTTTTTTTTTCTGTGCAAATGCTTCCCACTGAGCTGCACTACCCAAACCTTCTCCTTTTCCTGTTCTCTTCAGAATACTCATTTTGCACAATGCAGCAGTGGCTAGCTCTCCAGTTTCTAAGCTTCAGCTCTTTGATGCTGACGTCTGATTCTGAGGCAGAAGTTCTTCCTGTTGGAACTTTCTATGCTTATTTCTCTCTAATACTGCAAGGGCTAGGTTGTGGTAGGCCCCACAGAAGCATCCTCAGCTAAGCCTGGGACGGTGAAGCATTGCTGCAATCCTAGCATTCAGGAGCCTGTGGCAAGAGGATAGTGAGTGTGACAGCATCCTGGTCCACACAGACCTTTTCTAAACAACAAACAAAAATGATAATACTAAAACCAAAATAAAACCTTCAACTTCCTGCATCTGGAAGTGACTCTCAAACTTGCTTCCCAGGAACTATGTGCATTTATGGCATATGCACATACGGCAGGAAAGAACCTGGATTGCTTTCTTTTTTTTTTCCATTTTATTGATTTTTCTTGAGCTCTACATTTTTCTCTGCTCCCCTCCCTGCCTCTCCCCTCCCCTTCATTTCTCCCCCACGGTCCTCCCCATGCTCCCAATTTACTCAGGAGATCTTGTCTTTTTCTACTTTCCATGTAGATTAGGTCCATGTATATCTCTCTCAGGGTCCTCATTGTTGTCTAAGAACCTGAAGTTATAATTGAATGTTGGTAACTGCTGTTTTAGTTTATAAAAGGAGTTAAACCAATGATGCGAGTGGTCTCATTTTTCAGTTGTTCTGATGCAGATTTTTTAAGCCTCCTTCATCTTTTTCTGCTACTCCTTTTCTCGCAAGGTAGTAACTGTTCTGTAATCAGCAACAATGAAGGGGAAATTTCTTTCTGTATATTCTACTTCAGCAACTTGTTTTGGGTGTGAATACACTTGTGGTTGTGATTTTATATTGATAATCTAGAATACAGTCATAATTTCTGCAAGGAAATTTATTTCCGGTGTATATGAAAGCGTTGAACTATATCTGTATTTTGTTTGCTCTATGAAGGGCATCACAGAGACTGGTTTTTTCCTAAATATGTCTGGAGGGATTATCCATTAGAGGATACATTTTTGATTTTCAGCACAAGAAATGAGCAAATCCCTGCCCACGTATCTTTCGCCGTCTTTCACAGCCCATTTATGTGCATGCCCGCTTATCATGCATATTGAGCTATTTTTGTTTTCTTGAACATGCTGTGCTTATTTATACTATTCCTGTGTGCAGGCTGCTTCCCTTGTCCCTCACCATTAATTTGAAGTGAAATCCCCGCCCACAAAGTATTCTCATCTGTCTTTAAACTATCATAACATTTGTCACCTCACATCATAATTGATTTATCTGACATCTCGGCCATTAGCTGCTAGAACAGAATGTATGCTTTTGTAATTTCAGAGTATTTGACATCTGAAAAACTGTAGGGAATTAGTAAATACAACTAAACTGTTTTTTTTTAATGGGATCAAAAGGGAAAGAGTAAAACATTTTTAGCTGGAAAAATAGTGGTAAGATGGGTTCGGGCCGGAGAGATGGCTCAACAATTAAGAGCCTTGTGGACCTGGGTTTGATCCCCAACACCATGGTGGCTAACAAGCGTCTGTAACTCCAGCTTCAAGAAATCCAGTTCCCTTTTCTTCTTTGACAGCAAGCACACATGTAGTACATATACATGCAGGCAAAAACCAAAATACTCAAACACATTTTTTTAAAAAAAAAAAAAAAGGAAGAATAGAAGGAAAGGACTGAGGAGGAAGAAGAGGAGGAAGAGGAGGACTGGCT